AGCTGCGCACACATGGGCTTCCGCGAGCTGACGCTCCATGAGCAGCGCCATTGTTACCGCCCCAGAAGCTTTGACGCGTTGGCTGTGAAGCCAATCGCGCCCGCACCATAGTGATAGCACCCGGATCGGGCTACTCGTCGATCCAGGCGGCGAGTTAATTCAGCTCCTCGGGAGTTGCTGCCTGCGGTGGGGGCGGCTGCTCTGGCAGAGTCGCCTCGATACCGGCCTCCGTCAGCTGCTCATTAACCCACTTCTTCGCCTCCTGCGTGGCGGCGAACCGGTCGGCCGATCGCTCTTCGCAGTGATGGCGAGTCGCTTTTGCTTGCGTATGCTCTCTGGAATATTCAACGTCACGAGCACGCCAAAGTCGTTGGGCTTCTCCGCCCTGCCGACCTGCTTCTCATTGACGTGAGTATCCGCAGCTCAGCGAGTGACGACAGGAACGAGTCGGTCGCCACCTGATCCACAGCAGGTGCGGGCGACGACGTGCTGGCCATCTCGGCGCGGCTAGAAGGCTGAAGCGGAGCACGGAACGCCAAATTTGAGCGTTTCGAGCGGTTGTGGTATGGCGCAAGGGCGAAAGGTTACTTCGAAAGTTACTTCGAAAAAAGTAAGCTGTTACTGCGAGAGAGCTCGCGGAGAGCTTTTATTTACATGGTGTGTTTAACGTCGTGTGGCTCCCAGGGGAGTTGCCCGTTTACACGGTGGGGGCCCGCGGGGCTGGCACCCTGACCGTGGACTCAGCCACCGCAGGCAGGCAGTCGACCATAGGTGATGCCTGTGCGCAATATTTGTCCGCCGACCATAGAGCAAAAAAGAGGTTTTTGATTGAGGAAAAAGATCGATTACACTATCTCCTTCTCTGACTGTTGCGCGGCGGAGGCCGTTAGCGTCTAGGGCGGCGCCTCCATCGCCGCCTTCATCGCCGCCTCCATCGCGGCCTCTGCAACCGCCGCGCCGCCGCCACCTCCGTCGTCCGCCGCTACCGCCGCTGCCGCCTGCGCCTCCATCGCATCTCGGAAGCGAGTCATCGCGCCGTGCATCGTGCGACGCACAAAGCTCTGCGCCTGCCAGGGACGAGAGGGGGGCTGAGAATGTGACCGCACGGCGGGATGCCGGGCTGGGCGCGCCAGTCTCGTCTCGGCCAGCGGGCCAGCAAGGTCCGGCAGCGTGTAGGACATCCGCAGCCGCACCGTCGTCGCACGGGGCTGCCCAGCCACCGGCGTGAAGGTGGCCTCGCCCGAGTTTTGGACGCCGCTGAGCGACCGCCATCGCAGCGCGCGGGGCGGATCGAGCTCGTGCATCGCCTCCCACTGGACCAGGTTCTGCAGCCCCGCCGCGTTGACTAGCCGTGTGAGCGGTCGCGGCACGCGCAGCGCCCACTCTGATCGGCGCGCGGCCGGATCGACGAGCGTGACGCGCTCCAGCAGCGGCGACCACTCTGGCATGCGCTCGATGTCGGCGTACACCTCAAACAGCAGCTGCGGTGGCGCTCGAATCACAAGCTCGGCCGAGGTCTCGCCGCTCCAGAGGAGCGGAGGTCGGCAGCGACGGCGCGAGGCAGTGTTCGAACATTCGGATCGCGAGGCCGGTGCGATGTAGCAGCAGCAGGCGCCATGTAACAATAGCAGGCTGCTGAGGCACAGGCTTCTCATGCGTCCGTTGCCAACACTGGAACCGCACAGCAATGATCGTCTGGTAGAGGCGAGCGCCAGCGACGAGGTGCGACAATGGGCTGAGGAGGTGAGAAATGGTGCTGGGATACGAGGTGCGACAAGGGCTCAAAAGGCGAGAAAAGGTCGTGGCTCCCCGGCCCTGGATGTGAGGTTGATGACTGCACTCCAAGTGCTCCAAGTGCCCGATGCGCCGCGGGAAGCCCCGCGCATAGGACAACGACGTCTGTCCCACACACGCACAGACGCGCACATACATCATGCTCGGGCACACCCCTTGGGGCAAACGTAGATTTCCTGCCCAGCGTAAGGATATTTCTTTCATTTATTTCGTCTTTATTTCGTGCCCCACCACGGCAAATTTGCGAGAAATTTCTTCGCCCTCAAGTTTCGCCCCTTTCCGTTTCGCCCATGTTGGACACCCATGTTGGACCAGGCACCGTGCGGGCCTGCCGTGCCTTGCTTGAGCCGGCAGGCCCGCGCGGCAGTGATGGTGCGCCTCCGCGGAGAGGCTGACGCTGGTCATCGGTCAGCGGTCAGCGGTCATCGGTCACCGGTCAAGCATGATTGGGAACAGTACTCGTATATGAATAGTAGGATCTTGTCACAGGTATGGTAAATTTCCGGAAATTTCTCCTTCCGAACAAGCCTGTCATATTTCTCAAAATATTTCGGGAAATCTACGTTTGCCCCAACACACCCCACAGTGTAGTGGTGTGAGCACACAAGTACTACTAGTAGCAGAGTGCACACCTGCCTTGGGCTTGGCGGGTGAGGATCCGAGAGAGAGAGATTTTTAGCAATACCAATTTGTTTTGTAGGATCCGTAAGAATCAAAGCCTGTTGGTGCCAAACCCCAAAAACGTGCTCGAGCGCGCCGAAGAGAGACGATCCACGCTCGAGGGAGTTAGCGAAAGTCGCACGGGCAGAGGGGAGACCGAGGCCTCCGGCAGTCCGCACCACCTCGCGAAAGGGAAGCAACGATCAACTCAGCTTGGACTTGGGTGCGCCGAGCGCTGGCGCGTAGGTCGCGACCGACGCGCAGCGCGGGCACGTTGCGAGCACAGACAGGAGCGCCGCGAGTGCCGTGCCACTATGCACTAACCTGGTTGTGCCGGGCAGGGCAGTAGCCAGTACTTGAACGACCACATCGGTCATCGCTGGATGAGAAAAAGATTTCGAAAAGTTCTCCCTGGACTGGCACTACAAAAGAAAAAGAAGCTGATACACCATAAATAAATAAAACGGACACCTCTACTATATAGTAGATGGGTAAAAAGGAACAGGTCCCCGCCCTGCGGTCTTTGTGCAGGGTTCTTTGTGGGTGTGGTCGGCGACTAGCCGGGGTCGTCCTCCCGATGGGGGACTAGCACTAGCCGTCTTCCACATGGTCCCTCGGGTCCCTGCTGCTCCTAATCTCGTCGTACATCCTCCTGCTGATCTCCGCAACATCCTGCTCCCTCCCTCGTCTCGCCCTGCGCGTCTGCTCCGCCTCCCCGTCGTCCGCCCTGCGTCGTCTGGCGACGGGTCCTCCATAGTCGGTCGAGGTCGCTGATACACCAACACCGTGGCACTAGTTTTTTCTTTTTCCAAGTAATTGTTGAAGTAATCTTCCGTGAATGCGATAACGATATTAGGTCGGCTCTTGTAACCCCTCTCTACCAACTACCTTCTGTTAGACCTAGAACGACATTTTCTAGAAGAGCTTTGAAAGGCCTCACACCGTCAGGCTCCGCGGTGCGCACAGGGCGGGCATCAGCTGCGAGGGAGACATCACCAGGTTGCGCTGCTCCTCGCGCTCCGCCTCCGAGCCTTGAAGCACGGCTCGCCTCGCCTTCTCGGCCAGCGCCGCGATTTCGCGCTTCGAGTATCTTCGGGAGACTCCCCTCGGCGCTCCCGCAGCTGCTGGCCGGCAAGCCGGCCGCGCCTGCCCGTGCCGGCTGCATGGGGCGTACAGGTGAGATGAGATGCTGCCCCGAGAGCGCGTGTCCGTCCGACTCGGGCTCCGGCTGCGTTGGCAGCTCGGGCTCCGCTTCGATGCACTCGCTGGCGTTCCTGCTGGCCGGAGGAGTTCTTCCCTGAGCATGTTGGCCGGTGAGAAGATTGGTTCCGCCGTCGTTGGCGACGAAGCCAAGCTCAGTGACCTCCACGACGAACTTGAGCACGCATCCGCTAAAAGCAGCGCTCGCCCCCGCGGTGGCATCGGTGTGCGAGGGCGGTCCGGCAGTGGCGTTGAGAAGGACCAAGCACGCGGGAGCGGCGCATGCGAAGAGCCAAGCCTCGGTGGGAAGGAGGTGGGCATGTCTCGCGAGTGCATGAGAAACACCCGCGGCGGTTCGAAAGCGTCTCGAGCACCGCGGCCACTGGCAACGTGCAGCTCGTACACCGGACTCACCATGCGCCGCGTTTCACCGCGCGGCCGGATGTGAGCGGTCCGGCCGGCGCCCGCGAAACGATTTTTTCAACAACGTCGAAATGGAGCCGGAGGTGTACACGCGCAAGCCCGCGGTGCACGCTCGGACCAACTTTATGCGACCGTTTGCAGAGGCTCCAGCGCCGCCGGAGTGGAAGGGCCACGTCAGGGCCACTCTCATGCGTGAGTCGAAGAAGTTGCAGTCCTTCAAGGCCAAGACCGTGGGCCGACCATATCGTCCTAGCCTTCTGGTGAGCGAATATCTGCTGCCAATGCTCACGAACACATCTCACCCAACGCCACGAACACATCTCGCCCCCATCAAATGACAGGACGACAACTCGCGACCGTACCTCGGCGGCGAGGTCGCCCCAACGTCGTGGTACACTGCGCCAGCGCTCGGTGAGTCAATCATGAGCATGACTCAGGCTCGGGCCAGCAAGCTCTTCGATGCACCTCATTGAACGAGGTGAGTTCTGATAGCGCGACAACTGGCCAAGGGACGGACGGATGGGCTTGGGGCCCTTCAGACCCCGTTTCGTGTCGAGTGTCGTCGAGTCACCGACTGACACGTGAGGTCTACTGTGTCTCCTGTGTGCTGTGAGTCTGTGAGGAGAGAAGTCAGAGGAGGACTTTGGAGTTCGTCGACAGGATGAGTGCAGTTCTACTTGGGAGTGCGCCGCGATTCCTCGCACCGCGTGGCTTCTCATGACATGTTCGCTCATGAGTGCAGTTCTACTTGAGTGTGCCTTGTCTTGACGTGTACACGTTGACACTGATCTGTGATCACTGGACACTTGTGTCTTGTTAGACGGAAAACGGTAGAGTCTGAGACTGCAGCGAGGTATGTGTCGCACAGGGGCCGCGGAATAAACAATACTCCATTTCATACAACGCAGGTGTCTCGAGTGGGGAGCGGGCCCGGCCCAGGCAGCACACCACCCTCCACCCACGTCCGCGACAGGACAACGGCACAGTCACCGTGGGGTTGACGCTATAGGTCGGGACGACCTGAAAACTGCGCCCACGCGTGGGACGCACACCACGCAGGGGAGCGAGGAGGGAGAGGGCGGGTGTGGAGGAGAGAAGCGAGCGGGCGGCGGAGGCACAAGGTCCGCTCTTGCTCCCCTCCACCTCAGCCCGGCGGTTGCAAGCGGCGCGCCCCTCGGAGCGACTGGCGGCGCCCCTGTTCGAAGAGCATGCTCCCCTTGGGGAGGGTGCAAAACTTGCCCGCGCCCGGCACAAACGTCGCGTTCCCGCCTCGCGGCTCGCAATTGAGGCCCTTGCGGCAGGGCGGGAAGGGGCGGCTGCGCCGCTCGTCGAAGCCGTCGCACGGCTCGTTCATCTGCGCGTGCTCCTGCGTGCTCGGCGGCGGCGGCGGCGGCGGCGGCGGCGGCGGCGGGCTGGGCGAGGGAGGCGGCGGCGGGTGGGGCGACGGCGGCGGCGGCGGCGGCGGGGACGGCGGCGGCGGCGGCCCGGCCCTTGGCGGCGTCTTCCGACTGCAGCCGTTTAGCGAGTAGCCGCCCTGTGGCAGGCGGGTTGGGGAGGGGTGGAGGGGTGGGCGGGGTGGGGGGGATGGGGGAGGGGGCTGGGGGCGGATGACGGGGCTCGGCGCGCCTGCAGCACGCTCGAGTGTCGCAGGGCGTGCATGCCGCCGCAGTCGGACGGGTAGAAGGCGACGCGGTGGCGGTCGCGGTCGAAGATGACCTCGTAGTTGCGCATGTTCGCGGCTCCGATGACGGCGCCTGGAGGCCACGGCGAGGTCGCGGCATGGACAAAAGAGCACAAAAGACCATTTTTTTTTTTGGGGGGGGGGGGGGGGGGCTGGTTTCAGGCGCGGGTGAAGCGGCTGTGGCGTGTGGGAGGAGTGTGGAGCTGTGGCCAAGAGGGACGTGTCTCGAGAGTGTCGGGAGCGTCTCGGAGGTGTCCTGGAAGTGTCTCGGAGGTGTCTTGGAGGTGTCTCGGAGGTGTCTTGGAGGGTGTCGCGCCATTGTGCTCGTTGTCGAACACGCCGAGGCACCAGACGCCGCGCCGCAGCTCATACGCATACCTGCGGCGGGGGGGCAGGGGCGGGAGTCGGAGTGGGTCGGGGGGCGACGGGGGGCGAGGAGAGGAGGGGAGGGGGGTCCGGAAGGGGAGGGCGGATGGGGGGGAGGGGGGTCGCAGGTCGCACTGGCGCGAGTCAAAGTTGACGCGGACGCCGTTTGCGAAGTGGAGCGAGTGGGGCGCGAAGCGGCGGAGCTCGTCGGTCGACATGGTGTAGCAGTAATCGTCTGGGTACTCTCCCTTGGCCACGCGGGAGGCGCATGCCCCCCACGGGCAGTGGTTGCGCCACTGGTCGCGCACCTGAGGGGCGGGGGGGCGGGGGCGGCGCGCCAGCAGCTCGCGCGTCGGAGGGAGAGTCCGGGCTGTGGGGAGGGATGGGGCGGGGGGAGGAGGAGGGAGGAGGGAGGGGAGAGGGAGGGGGGAGAGGTCGCGCAATCTCGGCGGCCTCCCGCGCCTTGCGGTACGGCCCGGGCGGGAGGTACATGAAGGTGGTGCCCGAGTCGATGATGGTGGAGCGGTAGACTGAGGAGGGCTCTCCTGCGGGGGGGGAAGGGGGTGGGGAGGGGGGGGGGAGGGGGGGGGGGGAAGGGGGTGGGGGGGGGGGGGTCACGGGGTGTTTTCCCAAAGGGCCGGAGGCCCCCCGGAGGGGGTGAAAGGTCTCTTTTTTCGGAAGGCGGTTGGCTTTTGGAAAGAAAGGCTGTTGAAAAAAAAGGTCCGGGGCCGGGTGGGGTGAAAGGTAAGTTGCCGT